GGGCTGGGGATTCGAACCCAACACCTTAGGTGTACGTGGCTGGCGCCTTAGCAGCTTGAGCCACAGGCGCCGAGCCCCCCTAATGACAATTTTCTAAAAAAATGTGTGCAGCAAGATATAGAGAATTATCAAAATGGGCAGCAAATGGCAGGTGTGGCCTCTGTCTCACCTCTGCATAATGCTCCACATGAGCCAGCTCCATCTCTTCATCCCCTTCCCAGTCTCTCCAGTTATCAAAGTCCACAGATAGCCACACTGGCTGCAAGAGGAAGCACTGAGGGTCACAAGCCAGAAGAACAGCAGCAGAAGTGTGTGGGAGAGTATGAGCATGTGCCAAGGAGCATGCTCAAGGGAGACAGGTCTACTAGGCACACAATCCTCCCAACACAGCCTGCTGATCATCATTCCCCCCTCCACACTGCCTGCCTGTCATTGTCATCATTTATCATCCATAAAGAACCTACTAAGGTTCTGTGTATAATGCCAGGCATGGTATGGTCTGACAAAGCATAGATGTTCTACGTAGAGACACAACACATCTAGAAAAATAACTCTGTCATCATAGGAATCAACCAAGCAAGATAAATGAGCAACATTCCCTGGAGTCAAAGACAATCCTTTGAAGCCTGTGTTCTAAAGTTCCCACATTTATACAGGGAAGAAGTTACTCATTCATTCAACAGAATATATTGAACACATGCTATTACCAGACCCTGAACTTGGCATTGGGATTATAAAAATGTTCAACACAGGGTGGCGCCTATGGCTCAGTGAGTAGGGTGAGGGTGGCAGGTTCAAACCCGGCCCAGCCTAACTGCAACAAAAAAATCGCTGGGTGTTGTGGTGGGCACCTGTAGTCCCAGCTACTGGGGAGGCTGAGGAAAGAGAATCGCCTAAGCCCAGGAACTGGAAGTTGCTGTGAGCTGTGTTGCCACAGGACTCTACCAAGGGCAATAAAGTGAGACTCTGTCTCTATTAAAAAAAAAAAGGTTCAACACAGTGCTCCAGCCACGAGGAAGCAAGTATAGAGGGAGACATAGATAAATCATTATAATACAGTACAAAAAGGGTGGGGATGGAGTTAACATAAGGGATATCATGGGAACCCCAAAAGAAGTTATGGGAACACAAGTTATTAGAGTAGAAGGGCTTTGAAGGATAACATGGGTGAAGGTAGTGGTGATGGTGACTTTCCAGAGACAAGGTACAGCTGGAGCAAAAGTACAAAGGTGAGAAATAGCCTGGTTTACGCAAAGGAGCTATAAACAGTATGACCCAAATGTAAAGTTTGAGTCAGGGAGAATGAGATGGGCTTGTGTATGATGCTACGGTGCTTAGACTTTAAGACGCAGGAAATCAAAAGTTCAAATGCTCAAAGGAGTCAGGGAGGTAATGAATAGAAGTAAAGTGAGGTGGAGTGCATACCCTATTGAAAGCTTCAACTCTAGACATTTGGGAATTTATACTAGTGTGGCCAATTCTCCCATTTTTCAAGAGAAGCTGATAATCTGGGTTTTTAGGTGAAATATGCACATTTTAAAAGTTAACAACTTATAAAAAAAAGTTAAATGTCAATAACCAATCAAAATAATTGGCTAGGTGCAGTGGCTCACACCTGTAATCCTAACACTCTGAGAGCCCAAGACCAGTGGATTGCTTGAGCTCAGGAGTTTGAGACAAGCCCAAGCAAGAGCAAGACCCCAACTCTACTAAAAACACAAAAATTAGCTGGGTGTTGTAGCGGGCTCTTGTAGTCCCAGCTATTCAGGCATGAGGCTCACTTGTGACCAAGAGTTTGAGGTTACTGTGAGCTATGACAATGCCATGGCACTCAACCCCAGGTTGACAGAGTGAGACTCTGTCTCAAAAATAAATAAATAGTAGTTTATTTATTTATAACTGCTAAAATAAATATGAGAGCCAGATCCAGCCAGCAGGCAGCCAGTTTTCAACCTTTACAGAAGAAGCCATTGAAGGGTCTTAAGCGGGAAATGGGCAGGGTCGAATATATGTTTTAGACAGACCATGCTGGGCAAGACAGAGGATAGACTGGATGTAGGGCTGAAAATATCCAACAAACCTCTTATCCAGTGATGGATGAGGCCTAAACTAGGAAGAAATTAAGTAGTGGATTCAAAAATATTTAGGAGGTCAAGTAGTCTGGCCTGGGGAATTATTGAATGATGGCTGGAAAGGAGGCCAGGATGATCCCAGCTCTAACTTGGGAACCCGGGTACGCGAATAGAAGGAGCAGGCCACATCCCACACACTCACCTTGATATCCTCCTTTGTGAGCCGGGGCCAGGCCACCTTCTCCTTCCATTTCCTCACAAAGCAAGTAATGGAGCGGCAGGAGCGCTTATCCTGGGAGTCCTGTCATGAAGTTTTATTCTGAGATTCAAAATGAATCTCCAGTTTCCCTGAGCAGCCTTTCCATCCAGACCGTACTGTTCCAGCCTACCCTTACCTTGGAGTTCACCTTGGCATAGAACTCGATCTCATTGTAAAGCTCTACTCCATCAGCATTCTTACAGCTGAGGAGACAGGGAAAATGAGATACATGAGCTTGAGGATGGGGGCCTTGGCAGCAGGGGAAGGTTCGGGGAAGCCAGGTTCCTCAGAGGGGAGGGACTTTACCTGAACACGATTCGGTGATCCTCAATGAGCACATGGACATCAGTACTGTCCTCCACACAAAACTCCATGAACACATACTTGGGTCTGTCATACCACAGGGTCCGGGCATGCTGCCTGAAGAGGAGTTGAGGTGGGGCTTCATAGGAGAGGGGAGACTGGGCA